GAGCATAAATGGGCCATTATTAACGTCTAAATGTGGTATGGCCTGGCTTACATGAATTGCTATGCTGGTATTGTCTTACATCTCAATTTCTTTTTTGATTTGTTGTGAATGTAATTTGCTCTGTTTCATTTGGCATTATGACACTTAATAAACACAAGTTTAATATAACAACATATCTACTTATATTCCTGACAATCTCTTCTCTATTTTCTTGAAACCAGAGAGAATTTATGACAATGAAGCTGTGATTTCTGATTCTACACACAGTCACAGACATAAATGTGTGAATTTATGTGTTAATAAACAAAGGACTTATATTAAAAAGTAAAAACTTCTGCCTTCAATTATGCAGTTGCAGGTAATTGCTCTACCATTTACACCAATATCATCAAAAGGTTCAAATATTTCTGGGTCATTATATTTTTTTTTATTATTGAGATTTTAAGATCAAATTACTCTATGAAAGAAGGTGTTCATTATCTTTCTTTTTTTCTTGCTTTGTTTCTACTTTTTTCCCATCTTAAAGAAGATAAAGATAAAAGCATGAAACTCAATTCACAGAATCATGTGATCCAGTACTAAAAATACCAATTTCTCAATGCACACAAAAATGCTTTACTTGTTGCTTCTTCAACATTGTCGTTAAGAAAAACTCTTTTGTTTGTTAATCTACCTTTAAGCCGCCGGCCCTCGATTTACCAAATCTAATTATGAACCCCTGAGGCTTAACTCTGATCTTCTTCAACTAGCCTTTCTGAAGATTAGAAATTACAAATACCAAATTGAAGATCTTGACCTTTTCCTTCTCATAGGTTTCTCATTCTAACCCTTGTGGTGACTTGACTTCACCTCCATTCTCTCAAAAGTTATAGCCCAACTCGCCTTGGGTTAATTTAATAAACAAAATTTACTTTGCTAATCATTAAAGTATGGTTCTTGGAATTAGTGACATTTAATCAGGAGAGTCTTGGGCTAGATTTTGTTTAATCAGCTCCACCGCATCATGCACGTGCAGACCTGGGCTCCGATCACACCACCCACAAACAAAAGTTAGTCCAACCCTGCCAACTTGGTCAATTTTACTATTATACCCCGTAAGTGTCACTTTTTGAAACCTTGTTTTCTCGATATTTTAAGCCTTAATTAATATGTATGCTACTTGTATTTTCATGGCCGAACACATGTTCTCACCCAAACTTTGCCTTAAAGACAAGTTAGTACGCAAAAAGTTTCAAAACAACAATACCCACTTTGCGTCCACATCTGTTAGTGAATTCTATCTATAGTAATAAAAATACTAAAACACACTTACTATTCTTCTTTCTCCTCTTTCTTCTTCTTCTCCCTTTTTCTGCTCCACCGCTTTAAACACATCTTCTCCATGACAACAAGTGCCCCACCAACAACCACCACCACCCCGGCAGTAACCACCACAACAACAATCGTCCCGCCAACAACCACCACATCAACAACCACCCCAACAGCACCACCACAACATTAACCACTCCAACAACAGCAAAATGTTCTTACAATATGAGATATTGGAGGTAAAACAGAACCTGCTTCTAACGGCACAACAGCAGCCAGGGAACAAGAGTCCCAGTCAAACAGAGAAGATTGCAACTGATATTTCGGAACAAGAATACCCAGTCAAACAGAGAAGATTACACTGATATTTCTGGCCAACAACTTTGTTACGTTTGTGATAGTGTTTTTGATTTTTGAGTAGCTTATGTATAGGAGAAAGTTATGGAAGTTTGTGTATAAATATTATACGTTGTACACACTGAAAATTCTCGAAAGATTCTTATCCATCTATCTCTCATCCAGCTAACTCTTACATGGAATCAGAGCCCAAAAGGACTCACGTCTAAACCAATCCTCTTCAAGATGTCTGCCTCCTCAAATTCCTCCACTTCTAATGTTGCCGAAACCAACCTTCCCACCTTCACCATCTTCCTCCCCATCAACCCCACCAAACTCACACGTCTTAATTACCCTACGTGGAAAGCCACCATGTTACCTTACCTCAAAGGCCAGAGAGTCTACGGCTACATCGATGGCACCATCAGCAACCGCAAAAACCATCACTGCCTTTGATGGCTCTACCACCCCTAACCCCTCATATGATCTTTGGGAAACCCAGGATAATCTTATTCTTAGCTGCATAACCTCTTCTCTTTCTGATGAAGTTCTTGCCCAGGTTGCTCACTGCTGCTCCTCCGCTGTAGTTTGGAAGGCCCTCAGTTCTGCTTTTGCATCCCAATCCCGTGCTAAAGCGGTACATGTTCGCACTCAACTCTCTACCCTTCAAAAAGGTAATCAACTGCAACCTGATTACTTCATGACTATCAAACGTCTCACGGACGAATTGGCCTTGCTGGTCAAGCTCTGACGTGTGCTGAAATTATCCTATTTGCTTGCTGGGCTTAGTCCCGAATATGACTCTCTTGTTTCCTATGTTTCTCACCGTTTATTCCAAATTCTCATCCTTAAAGTGACGGAAAAATGTTTGATATAACAGTAAAGGGGTAAATTGGTCATTTTATATGGGCAACACACGTTAGCAGACCACCGCCTCTAACAGTCCTCTGACGCACATTAGCAGCCGGCGTTCCCAACTTTTTCGCTCTTTTCCGGCGATTCTTCCACCCAAAATCACCCTTGTCACCACCATTTGAACCCCCATCCTCCCCTCTACAAAACCATACCATTCACAACCCCTCATCACTCGTCGATCTCCGGCCACGGCAATGAAAAACGGCCGATGAACATGAATTCTTGACTGGCAATTGACGACGAAACGGTTGTTGGGGACATAGGCGTTTTATAGATTTGGGGACGGTGGTTGCATTGGTGGTGTCCAATTGGATTTTCACCACCGGAATCCGGTGAAGAACACCAAAACCCTAGGCCTAACGGTGCCGGCAATTGGAGGGGCAAATGAGTCGGGAGCCGAAGGGGTTTTAGACGATGAACTCCGGGGAAGGTGATGGAGGTGACCAGGGGGTTCGACGTCGTCGGAAACAGCCCAAATCAGGCTGTTTCCGGCGAGGGTGTATAGTGACCGAGGGTGTTTTTGATATAATTTGAAAATAAAATGGTAAGTTTGTAATTCTATTAATTCAGGGGTTAAAACATAATTTATTAATTTAGGATTAAGGGTATTATGGTAATTGCACCCTCTAAACCCTAAAAATTCATAACACTGTTACTTTAAGGGTGAGAATCTGGAATAAATGGAACCAATGGTACTAACTTGGGATTTCGTCAAACCTTGGGTTACTCTAAGATCGAAAATATGGCATGTTTCGGTCGCCCAAGTCCTAAGAGTGTGCCCCAAGTCTATAGGATAAGGAAGGTCGGATGGGTCGTGTCACTTAAAATATCTTTATCTTAAGTACTCCTTACCTAATCTAGATTTCTATACAAAGAGGTCACCAAATCAAAGGAATTCACTCACACATATAAATCACAACATAACACAAGTTTTATCATTTTAAAATCCTAAATATCTGAGGCTAAAAAAGACTAGACTGTATGGCAGAGGTTAGCTATTTAGAGTGTCAGCCAGACTATATCTAAGGCTAAAGAAGACTATATTGTATGGCAAACAATGTTCTGAAAACCGGATCGGACAATGACCCGTTCAAGGGTCCAGTTTCCGGTTTGACCGGTTGGATCGGTCGGTTAGACCGTAATTTATAAAAAAATTTAGTCCCTAAAGGTTTGAAATTCATCAAAAACACCCCTATAATACTCCCTTAAGGTTTGAAATCTATCTAAAACACCCCTATCACGAGAAGATTCTGGTGAGTGTGGCCGCAGCGACGATCGACGGCCAATCGAAGCTAGAATCTTGGGGCTTTTGATGTGCAAGTGTCGACGACTTAGATGGTGGTGCGACGGAGTTCTATCGGCGTCGGAACTCGCTAGAATCAACGAAAGAAATCCGACATCGAGTAAAGCCGTAAACTTTAGGTGGACGGTGATCAACGAAGGCTGGACGACAGCGACTGAAAATGGATGGGTTTGGTCGTGGAGATGCAATCCGTCGAATGAGGGTGATTTCTCCGTCGAAAGATGCTAGAATCCGACGGCGATTGGACCGCGATTCGACACTATTCCGATGGTCCAACCGCAGTCCAATCTGGTTTAACTTCAAATAGCAGTTTTTTATATATACTGGACCGGATTTGCCACCGGTTGCCTTTCGAACCGATCCGACCGGGCGGTCTAGTCCAGTTTTCAGAACACTGATGGCAAAGGCTAGCTATTCAGAGTGTTGTCCATACTATATCTGAGGCTAAAGAAGACTAGACTATATGGCAGAGGCTAGAGATTGGAGTTGTCAACCGTCTGTTGACTCGAACTTTAACATACTAAAGGGCGTTTCAGAAAGGTGTTTGTGCTTTACTGTCGATGTGGGAATTTGGCTCAGGCCCAAGGGAGGAGGGACAGGGCCCATTATTTTTAACCCACCCCCCAACAAAAAAAAAAAAATTTACATAAACCCTCAAGAGTCCTTCAGGATTTGGGCCTGCTCTTTGAGGACCCAGGCCTAGAATCGACTGGACCCAAGCCTTGCCCACCTCTCAGTTTCGGGGATTGAAGTTGTCAATTCGTACGTTCACCGGGGAGTTAACATGCTCAAGGGCATTTTAGGAATTTCGAGTGTAGTGAAAAATTCTCCATCAAAAAATTTTAAAGTACTAAAATTTTAATAGTGAATTTTATTTTTTACAAAAAACAGTTATTGAAGAAAGAAATATTTTAATATTCCAAACCTAGTTAGTCGTTAGAATTAAGTTGGACCCTTAGATTGCCGACTATGTAAGTAATTATCCATGGCGATTCTTTTTTCCCCACTCAATTCAATTTTAAATTTTTAATCACTTGGGGAATCCAACAGTTGTTTCCCAATTGAAAGCCATTCTTCTTGGGGTGCTATCTAGGATTTAGTGTTTAACACCAAAAATTGGTGGAGGAGGAAGTGATAGATGGAGGCCAACGAGATATCATCAGAAGAAGGGACTCCCATTCGATCCATATTTTTTGTGAAAAAGAAGATGGATTTGAAGAGTTTTGAGGAGAAAGAGGATTCCTTCATTCTTGATTTTAACCCTTATGAGTCTGCTGATTTTGCCTATCTCTCTATCTCCAAGAGTCATCATCATCCTCATAATGTTCAAGACATCTCTATCATCGCCGAAAAAGGCCAGGTTTTTATTTAATTCTTTTTCTTTTAATTGGAAAATTTTTTTTTTTTTAAGATTTTTCTGAAGTCGATGATTTTGATTTATTGTTAGTAGGTTGCTTGCAGAGATTACCCACATTCAAGACATTTGTGTTTGAAATTACCATTTGAAACCACCCCTCAAGAGTTTTTGATGATGAGATGCAGTGTTACTGTTATGTTTGCGAATTGGCTGCGCCATGCAATTTCTGGACAAAACCTGTTGAAACTAAGGATGGAAGTAAATGGCGCATTGTGATGCTTATGAGAAGGGCGATCGGAAGTCTCTGAGGAGGGTTTTGAAGAAACAAAAATCTGCAAATCAGAAATAGAACAAGAATTAACCTGACTACTTGTTGATGACATTAGACAATGTTTATGTTTGATTGTAAAAATTGGGAAAGTGCCCTTTTTTGGCTATTGTAAAATCAAATTCATGCTTGGAATTTGGATTTTGGGTAATTGAAATGTCACAAAAACATTTTATTCTCTTCATTTAGTTAATTTCTTCGTATTTATTTGCCTTGAATGGCTTTAATACTCTGATATTAAAGACACAAAATTATTGATTCTAATTCTAATTAACTTATCATTTCCATGTATATTGTTACTATTACAGACATTTATTATTGAATTTCAAAATATATAATTGATGACTTTCTTAATTTTTTTTCTTAAATAATCAAACTCGATTTTATAACATCTTTTAATATACAAAGCATTTTTATTTAATTTGACTTGATGTGTTTGGATAACAATATTATTAGGTTTGAGATATGTAAACTTTTAAATTCAGTATATGTTCTATTAGTTAATTTGAAAATTGAAAATTCAAAATTATAATCTAATATTTTCCTACCATACCTAAAATTCGCTTATCATGATATTATAATTTAATATGTATTCTATTATAAATTAACAAAATTTAAGTTTATTTTCATATAAAAAAAAAACATTTAAGTTTTATTGCTTTTTGACATTGACTTGAAATAATTAATTCGATTTTTAAGTGTTGGTGTATATTAAGAAAAGACCTCAACGCAACAGCGCTGGTTCAGCAATTTTTCGGCGCATGTTGAGCAATTATTCCGAATATGAAACCAAAATTTCAATTCTTAATTAATTTAAATAAAACATTCACATAAAACACACTTAAATAATTAGTGCTTACATATAATAAAGTCCACTGTACATAAAACTGAAGATTTTCCAATTTTTGATTCACTGTTTATATAAGATCAAACCAAATTTAATTAAAACAAATACATAACTTCAGACCCACAAAACAGAACACAATATTATATAATTAATCACTCTGACTCAATGCAAACACAAAATTCAAGTAAAAACGTAAAATTAAAAATAACAAGCACACAATAATTATTCAAATTATCTTATAATAACCAAAGAAAATCCAAATCCCAAGCCATGCATGCATGCACTCATGGAACCTGAGTCCTCATCCTCATCGTAGAAACCCTAGCGAGTCCAACGGCCTGCTGCGGTGGAGACGTTTCATGAACACAATAGCCTTCGAGAATATCTCCTTCTTCAGCAGTAAACCCCAGAGTATCCATCATGTTCGGCCAGCACTGCTTCGCGATTATACGAATGGCTTCGCAACATCCATGGCCAAGGTACGTCTCGCCGTTCACAAAGAAGAGTATAATTTCTGAAGAGCACGCTTGAAGCTGAATCAAGGAGTCCCAGCAATTCGATGGCTGATCGTTATCATTAGCCCCATCCAATTTCAAACGTGCGGCGAGAGTTGATGAGCTAGGTTTCAAGAGTGGCCGTGCAGTAGCCACATTGGAAGCCAGGAACAAAGCCGAAAGAACAGCGATTAAGAAGAGCTTGGAAGTGGTAGAATAATAAGCCATTTGTGTTGGGAGTACTGGTTAATTGATTGATTAATTACTAAATGGCTTGGTGAAGCTAGGGTTTTATAGAGAGATTTGCATCATTTGACATTAATGTTCTTGAACGTTATGAGGATTGAAAAGCCTGAAGATTAATTAATTAATTTAATTGCTTGTGGTTATGGGAAGTTGATGAGGCCATCCATTTATATGTAATAGTATTAAGCAACTGTTGATCATCATAATCGTTCAAAGCAAATCTGTATTTAAGCTTTCTTTTAATTATCATTATCATTTGTTTGATGAGCCATCCAATTAATTAATTAATTACACAAATTAAATTATGAGAACTTTTCTCTCACCCATTTCTGACCTTTCATTATCTTCTTCGTAATTTCTTTGGGCAGTTACCTTATTCAACTCTGAATTAAGTATGGAATTGATTATATTTTAATTAGTACACAGTAACAAAATTGTGTCTCTTGTTACAGCAAGTATTTGATTAAATTAACATGAATTTCGGTTAATACGTTGTCACAAAATTTAAGATCAAATTTCTGTTAAGAACAGAGATATATAAACCATGAAACTCAGTTCCCCTGATTCTTATGTGGTTGAAGTATAAAATTACTACATTTCTCTAAGTACAGACGATGCTTAATTTGTTTGCTCAAACTTAATTTGTAGGATTGTTATGTTAGTTTTTTGGGTTAACGAGCGTATCCAGATCAGTTTGCGCGCCACCTCAACTAATATTCGGAATCTATAAAACACCCTATAAGTCAAATGACCTAATAAGTTATAAGGTGATAGATAGCCCTTAAATTTGAACCCAAATGCTCAATGAATAAAGTGAACATCTTTGACCGTCAAACCAATCCCTTGGAGTTCATGTTATGTTAGTTTTCTTCTTTTAATAAATATAATTATGAATACTCTTGAGGGTCGCTCTTGATCTTGATTAGCTACCCTTTCCTTTCTCAAACAAAGAATTAAACATTAAACAAATAAGTTAAATTACCAACCCAAATGGAAGATCTAAACCTTTTTCTTCTCCTACCCTTTGAACATTCTTACGCTTGTGGTAACTTTGCCTCAATTTCCTCAAAAGTCATTGGTTCAAACTCACGCTTGGGCAAATTTAAGAAACAAAAATATGTTCCTAATCATTAAAGTATGCTTCTCGGAATTAGTCACATTTAATCAGGAGAGTCTTGGGTTAAGTTTTGTTTTACCAAATTCGGATGGGGGGCTAGATTGAATGTTGGTTTATTTGTTAAGTATTTTTAGAGAATCCACTATTTCAACAAAATGTGGCTGTAGTTTAGTGGTAAGAATTCTACGTTGTGGCCGTAGAGACCTGGGCTCGAATCCCAGCAGCCACAGCTTTTCCAACCTTAGCTCAGTTGGTAGAGCGGAGGACTGTAGTGGGTACACCACTTGGCGGCTATCCTTAGGTAGGTCGCTGGTTCGAATCCGGCAGGTCGGACCTTTTTCTGATTGTTTACTGAGATCGGATATTTTTTTTTTTTTTTTTTCTGATTGTTTACTGAGAAAGTGGAGGAGAGAGAGTGAGAACTGTTCACTGCACCAAAAATATTATTCCTATTCCATTTCACGACATAGGCACCTACAGCATATTATTCCATTTGCTTCTTCATTCAAGAATTAAAAATAGTTTGATAGGGTGTAAGTTTATTATCTTCTTCATATTCACAGGTATATTTTTAGATTCTACCCAGTACACAAATACACTTCAACATGTTAATTACAGTGGGAGAAATAGTTGTTCTGGGCCCAGTTCTTCTTGAATTTGGGCTGGAGCTATAGAGCATAAATGGGCCTTTATTCACATCTAAATGTAGTATGGCCTGGCTTACATGAATTGCTATGCTGGTATTGTCTTACATCTCAATTTCTTTTTTGATTTGTTGGTGAATGTAATTTGCTCTGTTTCATTTGGCATTATGACACTTAATAAACACAAGTTTAATATAACAACATATCTACTTATATTCCTGACAATCTCTTCTCTATTTTCTTGAAACCAGAGAGAATTTATGACAATGAAGCTGTGATTTCTGATTCTACACACAGTCACAAACATAAATGTGTGAATTTATGTGTTAAATAAACAAAGGACTTAATATTAAAAAGTAAAAACTTCTGCCTTCAATTATGCAGTTGCAGGTAATTGCTCTACGCATTTACACCAATATCATCAAAAGGTTCAAATATTTCTGGGTCATTTATATTTTTTTTATTTATTTGAGATTTTAAGATCAAATTACTCTATGAAAGAAGGTGTTCATTATCTTTTCTTTTTCTTGCTTTGTTTCTACTTTTTTCCCATCTTAAAGAAGAATAAAGATAAAAGCATGAAACTCAATTCACAGAATCATGTGATCCAAGTACTAAAAATACCAATTTCTCAATGCACAAAAAATGCTTTACTTGTTGCTTCTTCAACATTGTCGTTAAGAAGAAACTCTTTTGTTTGTTTAATTCTACCTTTAAGCCGCCGGCCCTCGATTTACCAAATCTAATTATGAACCCTTGAGGCTTAACTCGTGATCTTCGTCAACTAGCCTTTCTGAAGATTAAGAAAATTACAAATACCAAATTGAAGATCTTGACCTTTTCCTTCTCATAGGTATTCATCATTCTAACCCTTGTGGTGACTTGACTTCACCTCCATTCTCTCAAAAGTTATAGCCCAAACTCGCACTTGGGTTAATTTAATAAACAAAAATTTACTTTGCTAATCATTAAAGTATGGTTCTTGGAATTAGTGACATTTAATCAGGAGAGTCTTGGGCTAGATTTTGTTTAATCAAGCTCCAATGCATCATGCACGTGGAGACCTGGGCTCCGATCACACCACCCACAAACAAAAGTTAGTCCAACCCTGGCTCAACTTGGTCAATTTTACTATTATACCCCGTAAGTGTCACTTTTTGAAACCTGTGTTTCTCGATATTTTAAGCCTTAATTAATATGTATGCTACTTGTATTTTCATGGCCGAACGACATGTTCTCACCCAAACTTTGCCTTAAAGACAAGTTAGTACGCAAAAAGTTTCAAAACAACAATACCCACTTTGCGTCCACATCTGTTAGTGAATTCTATCTATAGTAACTAAAAATACTAAAACACACTTACTATTTTCTTCTTTCTCCTCTTTTCTTCTTCTTCCCTTTTTCTGCTCCACCGCTTTAAACACATCTTCTCCATGACAACAAAAGTGCCCCACCAACAACCACCACCACCCCGGCAGTAACCACCACAACAACAATCGTCCCGCCAACAACCACCACATCAACAACCACCCCAACAGCAGCCACCACAACATTAACCACTCCAACAACAGCAAAATGTTCTTACAAATATGGAAAGATATTGGAGGTAAAACAGAACCTGCTTCTAACGGCACAACAGCAGCCAAGGGAACAAGAGTGCCCAGTCAAAACAGAGAAGATTGCAACTGATATTTCGGAACAAGAATACCCAGTCAAAACAGAGAAGATTACAACTGATATTTCTGGCCAACAACTTTGTTACGTTTGTGATAGTGTTTTTGATTTTTGAGTAGCTTATGTATAGGAGAAAGTTATGGAGAGTTTGTGTATAAATATTATACGTTGTACACACTGAAAAATATCTGAAAGATTTCTTATCCATCTATCTCTCATCCAGCTAACTCTTACATGGATCAGAGCCCAAAAGGACTCACGTCTAAACCAATCCTCTTCAAGATGTCTGCCTCCTCAAATTCCTCCACTTCTAATGTTGCCGAAACCAACCTTCCCACCTTCACCATCTTCCTCCCATCACCCCACCAAACTCACACGTCTTAATTACCCTACGTGGAAAGCCACCATGTTACCTTACCTCAAAGGCCGAGAGTCTACGGCTACATCGATGGCACCATCAGCAACCGCAAAACCATCACTGCCTTTGATGGCTCTACCACCCCTAACCCCTCATATGATCTTTGGGAAACCCAGGATAATCTTATTCTTAGCTGCATACTCTTCTCTTTCTGATGAAGTTCTTGCCCAGGTTGCTCACTGCTGCTCCTCCGCTGTAGTTTGGAAGGCCCTCAGTTCTGCTTTTGCATCCCAATCCCGTGCTAAAGCGGTACATGTTCGCACTCAACTCTCTACCCCTTCAAAAAGGTAATCAACTGCAACCTGATTACTTCATGACTATCAAACGTCTCACGGACGAATTGGCCTTGCTGGTCAAGCTCTGACGTGTGCTGAAATTATCCTATTTGCTTGCTGGGCTTAGTCCCGAATATGACTCTCTTGTTTCCTTGGTTTCTCACCGAGATCATGGGATAGGATTTTGGGAATATATCTATCTCTCATCCAGCTAACTCTTACAAAAGATTGCCAAAGATCAAAGCTCAGGGACAGAGATCATGTAGTCCATAATTTCCAAGATCCCTTCAAGAAGCAAATTGAAATTTCACTTTCAAGTTAAAAAAATTGAGTTCTCAGACAGCCAAATCTAACTCAATAATCTTTAAATAAACTAACGAAAGGTGGAATATACATACAGCCTTGTGACTTTGTTATCATCATTGCCTGTAACGTGAAGCCAGGTGCATGGATCACAAATGCTGCATCCCACTTTGAAACCCACCGTTTGGATAAGCCAAGGCGTATTTCAAAGCAGAAGAGCGTCCACTATTTGGCAAACAATTTAACATCACTTAAGCAAATATCATAGATTCATCGCATTATTAAAGAGCTGAAGATCAAATTTCAGAGAAAAATGGTGATATTTCAATAATTTATATAGGAGCATGACTGAATTGAACTGCTAAGAAAACTTCAAGGGTGGTTAATGTTGTGGTGGCTGCTGTGGGGCGGTTGTTCATGTAGTGGTTGTTGTTGGGACATTATTGTGGTGGTGGTTACTGCCGAGGTGGTGGTGGTGGTGGTTGTTGGTGGGGCACTTTTGTTGTTGCAAATGAAAAGCTGAAATCTCGGAGAAGGAGATGTGTTTAAGT